TGAGGGTCAAAGTGGTGATAGATCAGCACTACTACTATGGCATTACATAGCCTCCTTAAATCAACCATACTTATTAGCTAGGAGTAACAATATAGTAGAACTAACATAATTTGATGACCTTTTAGTACAAGCACACATAACGTTAAAAATCACACAAACAAGTGATATTTGATTTTTTTTATATTTTATAAGCCACATTGGCTCTATAGTATGCACTATAGAACGATGCAACGATCCAACGACGATTGGTTTTTGATATTCACGCCCCAGAGTCTTGGCGAGATCCGTTCTATTCGAGTGTGGCACGATAACGGCGGTTCTGACCCCGAATGGTATTGCAGACGGATTATGGTCATCGAAGTACGCGGTAATAACTCGACCGAGTTTGAAGTTGAACAATGGTTTTCTCTAACCCGACAAGACAAAAGCATAGAATACGTCTTCAATTCTGGTCCCCGAAGCTATAAGTGGAAAAAACAAGCAAGGGAGTTGTTTGAGATGACCGTTCGCGAAAAACATATGTGGGCCAGTGTTTTTTTGCGGTACTTGTGTATTATTTTGTTTATTGGTTTATCTATCTACTATATGTTTTTATGTATTTTGTTTTGTCTCAAAGTCATCCTAGGTCGCTTTTCACTCGGTGCCAGAGGCTGAGCCTGATTTTCTGCACTATGCTGAGTATAATGACGGCCAGCATGTTGTTCTACAGCCTATTGCATAGTAATCGGACGGATGATAATAATATTTAGCGTCAGCTAAAGCACACATTCGCGTTTAACGTGTACCTTTTTTTTTTTTTGTTATAGCTGACGAGGAAAAATTCGGGACCTTCACTTTACAGCTCAGAGAAGTCTTCATCGGCATCCAAAGTGAATTAATAGAGCTGATATTCACTTTCGGTGTACACATTTCATTCGAGTAATGCTCGATAAATGGTCAGACCAAAAACCAAACCAATACTAATAACCGTATTTTATCCACATGAAATGTATAGAAAAGCCGCCAAGATAACTTACAGGAAAGTTGTGCCAGTGTTTCCGCAGACTAACCCTAATCAACAAGAGGACAATACGAACATTAAAAGTAAGCACGTTAGGCTGTTTTTGTTTTATTATTATTACCTACCTACTCTGTCGTTAGAGACGTGGATTAAAAATCCGCAAATACTGATCGCCAAACGGGTGGCACGGCCGATTTATTACTATCCGGCAAACACTGAAACACCGCTTGTACAGCGCCGTTGTAACGTTTGGCTTATAATAGGTTGGTACGTTCCATCTCGTATTGCTTGTATACTATTGCCCTATTATAATGGCCCGGTTTGAGTTTCAGGTGTCTTTGCCTTCTGTTGTTTGCATTTACTGGGTTTTACATCATTCTGTTTGGTTTAAAATTCGGCAGAGTGAAAAGTCTCTGTTGGCTAACGGCTACAATCATAGGGTCAATACAAAGTGTATTAATAACTAAACCGTTCAACATTGTTTTCTCCAGTTTGTTTGTAGCGAAATATAATGATAATAATGAGGTGGGAAGGGTTTATCGGTATTTATTAATTACACATGATAATTTTAATTCCAATCTTTAGAATTCAATGTTATCGAGGTTCTTCATAAATTTAAGACGGTATAGGAGAAAATCGAAACCGCTATCGCAAGATCCATTTTACTTGATGCACATCCGGAGTATTCGATTAAGAAGCATATACACGCCTTTGTCTATGGAAAAAGCTATAGTAAATAAATCTATTAAATTTTAATACATTAATATAAGGGTATAATAATTGGTAGTTGATAGAAATTTCAATAACAATTTATCCAGAATAAACTATTTGAGAAATTGTAGTAATTTTTAGGTAAAGTAATGTATACTGTAATAGGTGAAGGATTTTTTACTAGTAGGGTTGTTCCTTTTTGTATAGAATAGGATACAGCTTAGTAAAATACCATATCAGTTAAATCTAGCATTTATAATGTGTTCGAACAGGTTTCTAGTAACCGACAATTGCGCATGGCCGAGTATAATAATTCGCAGGCGAACAGTTTTCTTTGCATTGTACTTATATTATTGTCCGTGTGTTATCTTTGTTTACTGGACGCTTTTGGTAGCCAAACCATTCATCATTACGCAAACCAAATGGTGTCGAAAAATATTGAATATATTTTCAACACAAGTATAAACGACGTGATCACGCCGAAAATGTTAGTTAACTGTTAATCAACACGTAAGCCACCCTAGTACGCAAAATCACGTACTTATCAACAGTTAATTTTTTGTCCTTTAGCTTAAAGACAATTTTGTCAGATAAACTTCTGAAATCTCTTCATACTTTGGAACTATATAACGGTGTAGTGCTTATCGGAGACCCGCCGGATACCATGAGACGTATGAATGTTGAAAGTCAGAGTATACGCATAGTAAGTTAACCACATGGGATTTTAATTTCAGACGAAAATATTGGTTGGTTCAGCTTGTACAACAGTAGACTAATCGGGGCGGGCATTCGACTGCGGCAAACCAGGTCTCATTGGAACGGAACGAAAGACAAAGGCACGTATAAACCGGGATGGATTGAATACGCTGCTAAATCAAACGAAACTGCAATTCCTTGGACGTATGACAGGAAATATTCCAAACACAAGTTATTTTTCGGTACGTTGTCTTAAACATTATCGCTCCACATAATATAGGTATAGATCTCTCTTCATTGTATTCCATACGATTCATTCCTTCGTTTTGTATCCCGTTTGATCCCATATGCCTACTTTTAAATTCGTTAAATCTTTGCTTTCTAATAATTAAAATGTCTTCACCCTTTTAATTAGGTACCTACTAAACTTACTAAAGTTTAATACCTAATGAAAGTAATAATGTAATTAAACAGTATTCTGTTTGAGACTTCCTTTTTTTAAAGTCATTTCTCTCCATCGTCTTACTTTATTGTTCTAATTTAATTTTAAAAACGTCTGTATTTTACCAAAAGTACATCGTCCACAATAAATGGACGTTTAGGTTTGAACCAGGATAATGTAAGAAGTAACTATTTTAATTCCAGAGACTATTAGAACAGACTATTCCGGGTTCAAGTTGGATCTAGTCGGCGGACTGACCAAATGCAAACGAATTCTCAATGAACATTTAAACTTGCAATGGTTGGACGACCGAACGAAGGAACTCTTCGTGGAGTTCCACGTGTACAATGCCGGCATAGACACGGTTACTGCGGTCAAGATAAGTTTGTTGTCGGTGTTTGGACTTTCTTACAAGGTCAAAACGGAAGTAAGTATCAATTATTACGACTGAATTATTTTTGTGAGCTAATCAATTTCTCAAATTACACTATTGACGTGCTCAAATTTTAATTAGAATTATATTTTTAAGGTCCGCTCGATACCGATGTTGTCAGTGTTGGTCACGTGGGAGACGTACACGTACACTCTGATTATCGTATTGTTGTTCAGCGGGGTAGCAGTGTGCCAGTTAGCGTTCTTGTACCAAGAGATCAATCGGTTTAGGCTGCCGTTGTTCTGGATTGTGTATGACAGCACGATGGCCGTGGTGATCGTGTTCTGTGTGATCGCATTGCTGGAGCGTCTGACCGCCATGGAAAATTTAACACAATCGTTCGAGCCAGGCGCCTCGAAACAACCGCTGTACGACGACTTCGAAGTGCCTTGCCGAGCGCATTCCATCGCCGTGGTCACAGCTGCCACCTTAGCTGCCATGTCGGCGCTTAGGATGTTAAAGTTGCCCACACGCCGTGGACCGCTGCGCATCATCAAGTTCGCCGTGGGCCAGGCCAAAACACAGGTGGCCACTGTAGTAACGTGGGCGACGCTGACCGCTGCCGGCGCCACTGTGGCCTACTGTTCGTTGTTCTCCTGGGATCTGAGCAGCCTTATCGACGTCGTTCTCAACGGAGGCGGCAGAATGTTCAATACAGCCGTCCCTTTGTCTGTGAAATGCATTGTATCTGTCGCATTGCTTTTGTTCGATGCCACTGTCGTTGCTATATTCGTCAAATACCACAGGCTCCACAGAAATTAATTCAGATCTGTCAGGGAAGGTTCTTATTTTCCTTCAATGTTCGTTATTTGCACGTGTTAATACCACCGTCTATTTTAACAACTATCGTTAAATAATTATTGCATTAAGTATACTTCTATTGTTTGTTTCGTTAAACATGTTTCTTCATATTATTGCCATGAACTTAATTGATAACGAAAATTATTAAGTATAGCAGCAACGTCCGGTTTGAGGGCGGTTTCTACGGGAAATTTGTAATAACAGTAGTAAATAGTAGAAAATGTCATAATTGCAAATCTGGCTTTGCATTAAGTAGGTATCATTTTTTTCGCAACATTAAACTTGTAAGTTACAATTTGTCAATCATACATTTTTTTCATTTCACACACATGCAGAACAAATATTTACTTATGATAATAACTAATCATAGAACTTATATTATATTATTATATAATATCTATAGACTATATGCAACTTTAAGAAATTAAAACCAATATTTTTTTTCTACGTCGTGTTAAAATGTAATGACGAAACGCATCATCACATTTGGCGTGGTAATAACTATAGTATGTCGTAATAATTGTAAAATGGTCTTCAAGATAATATTATTGTATGCTCATAGACATACGTACTAAATTTCAATTTCCTAAGCTAATAATGAGCCTAATAGCCCAAAAGCAATAACTTATTATTGCGCTTAAATTCTACTTATATTTATACAGTACCTACGGAAAATTGTAATTAGTAATTACTAATTACTCAAAAAACCACAAAAACCTTATTGCTTAGTGATTACCATAAACTTATATACTACAGTAAATGATGGGTATATTGTGTATTGCTAGAGTAATCTATAGCGACCTCTATCACATTTTCTTCTTATCAGTCATTTTTTCTTATCAATATCAATATTTTTCATTTATTTGGATCACGGCCATCTGCTATCATAATTCAATACAACATTATTTATTCAAAATAATATTCATTTTCACTTATAATAATTTACTGTTTTCATTGTGTTAATTGAATAAAATTATGTAATACGAGTTTTTGTTTTGGTGTATTTTACAATTTTTAAATGTTTGTTTTGTCAAAATGTGCCGATTATTTTTACAACGATGATAACAATTATTCTAGTCAAATTATAAAGAGAACATTGTGGTAAAAGTTAATTTTAATATTTTAAACATCACCTTATAACTTTATTTTGTCTTTTTTATTTTGTAGACTGTCAAATAGTGTTTTGTTTAAAAACAGTAATAGTTTTTTGTTATAATAAGTATTCTTTTATTATTATTGATTATAGTTATAGATAAAAACTATAGACCAAATATTACCTAATGAATACCTGATATGATAGCAAATACCAAATCCCATTTGACCAATACTAAATTTGTCTATATATGGAAAAAGAGTATCATTATTCTTTATAAAGCAACACGATAAAAAATATCATTTGTCAAAATGCTTGCGGAAGGAACTCACTATATCAAACGGTAAGTCAACTGTACAAAGTACAATCTATTTTGTTTTCCAATTAGTTCTTATCTTCTTCTGCTGGTATATTAAAATATATTTTTTTATATTAAAATTATATTTGTTCTATAACAGGAGGGTAAGATCTGGAGCTGTAGACGCCCATCCAACTGAAACAGCGATTGTAGTAAATTACGAGTTGGATGCTTTCGTCTTGGGTGAAAATGGTGAACCAGTAATAGGAGATCATAAGGTAAAGATAAAACAATTGAGCTTCAAGGGATAAAAGAATACTTAATTCATAAAGTTATAATATAGATGGAGGTTTATCTAAAGATTAAACAAATTCATAAAACTTACAATTTAATACATTTATTAAATGATCATCATAAAATTATTGTTATTTTTAATCCTTTATTATACAATTTTTATTTTTAACTGCATGACCTTAAATAAAACCATTTCTTTAAAGATTACAATTATTAAGAAAACAAAATAGTGGGGGACGAATAAATCAGGATTGGGAGGTCACAGGATATCAGGATTTATTATAACTGAATGTGATTTTATCACTTTAAAATGTACTCTGATGCAAATCTATAGACATAGTAAAGAGTAGAAATAAATATCAATAAAAAAAATTGTAAAGGCAAAATTGAGTGTTAAGATGTATTTTTAGTATTAGGGTTTGATCAGTCTTTCCTAATAATTTTAAGTCGTCAATAAACAACAAAATGAAAATATTTTTTGGTTACCTGGTGACTCTTGATTGCCTCCCGGGTTAATAAATATATGCCCAAATTTGAATCCCATCTAGCTTTAGTTTTGTAATTTTTTTAACATGACTTTAGGACTTCAAACTAATCTTAAAACCAGATCCTCGGTATGCTCTATGCTCATGACGATCGGAAAAGTGGTTCCAGAGCCAACCCGTGACAACGATTCTCATTTTATATTAATTTTTATATATATTGCTCTAAATAATATATAAATTAAAAAAAATATTGTGTAGCACAAAAATGAATAGATGTGTGGGTTTTATAAATATCTGATTTTAGTTTTATTTATAATTTTAAAGTGCATTTAGGTATCTAATTAAATTTACTTACAAAATTTGTGTATATTTGTTTGTAACAGGAATGTCAGAAAGTAATACATTTGAAAAGTTTAAACAGTAATACAGATTGTAGAGCTTTAGCAAAAGAAGTTATTCATAAATGTAATCTAATACATGAGTCTAAACTTTATGATGTGGAACACCTGATTTACTATCTTCAAACTCGTACAACTGCCGCTATTACCAGTAATATTTTATAATCTAATCATTTCATGTATTGAATTATTATTCAACTGATTTTGTATGACAGATAATAAAATTAAAGAAGACAAAAGTCAGTTGGGGTTAGAGAATAATTCATCAAGCACATATCGCATATGTGGCTTGTTACCTGATGATAAAGCAAGCTTAGCGAAAATCGACGACTATATTGAAATGCTGTATGACGATATACCACAAAAAGTTCGAGGTTCCGGCCTAATTTTGAAAGTAACTAGTGAAAAAGACAATCTTGAAGAATTATCTCTTTCAGGTAAAAAAAATGTTCTAAACAATGCTAATGTTAATATTTTTAAACATATGTTTATCGAAGTATTAAAATTTCACATAATATAATATTATTACCAATAATTATTTTTTGTTTTTAGAACCTGCAATGAGCGCTTTAGCAAGAGTTCTACGGGAAGAATATCGAAAAAGTTTTGATCTCAGTTCAAATATAATAAATATTTTTCTTTGTTTTTCTGCCTATCAAATATTTCACAAGATTTTAATTGATCATAAGGTAAAATACACTAATTTAACATATTTATATTAAAATATTATGCACAAAGCTTATCAGATGTGTGTTTGTTGGTATGGATAAAACAACGGACTTGGTTTTCAAAACCAAGTAATTTTAAAATAACTTTGACCGCCTAGACATCACACAAGTTTTGGTTATTTCAGAAAGGGAAAGGGAGGAACAAACACACATGACTGTATTCTATGTTATACATATTTAAAAGTATATGTAAAAAACATTATTTATAATTTATAACGCTTAAAATTTCATTTCATTACAGGTTTGTTTACTTTGTATAGAAGTGTTAGAATATGAACTCAATCGATATGACAAACTTAAAAGTCAAATAGTAAACTCTCCTCCTCGCGAATCTAAAATATCAAAATTACCAACTCCCTCAAAATTACCTGTTCCCAGAAGTGCTCCTACTACATCAAAAATTGCTCGCAGTCAAATACCTGTTAGTTCAAGTACTAATACTGACAATCGTAGACATTCAGCATCTCTTGAAAACGTCAAACAAAATGCCAAAGGTATATTTTTACTAACTACTTAAGTATAAAATTAGTCGTACTCGTAAAGAGATTATTAAATACCTATTTACAGTATACTATACCAATGTCTCTTACGGGAACTAACAAGCTACTCTTTTCTGATAAAAAACTAGACCATTTCAAGTTTTGACGAACATGTTTGTTTTTTTCAAACGAAAATTAACACTTGTTTTTAAACACTTGGTTGTACTGTAAAATGTTAGTTTTTGTTGGTAAATAATCAAAATTTGTAATCTTCATAATGAAATTTAAGCGTGTTAGTTTTTTTTTATAAGGGCATTAATATATTCAATTTTTAAACTACATTATTCACTAACTGCTGTTCAATTTAATTCCAGACAATAAAATACCTAGAAGTTTAGATACAAGTGTTGTTATAAAACAAGGTACAATAACAAGAAGTCCTGAGGAATTAGCGGTACATCAACTACGAAGGAATTTGTTTAAGTTGGGAAAAAATCAAGACCAAGCTTTGAAAGGTTGTGAGTTATTGCCAGTATTATAGGTTACAACAATTTGTATTATACATATAGTAAAACTTAATTTTCACACATTTTTTATTTTTAAATTAATTTTATTAATATTGCAATTATAATAACTAAAGATAACATTTCCGGAGGGTTCATTATTTTTCCTGGTAATTACCAGGTGACATACAACAAAGTTACTGTTATTATTTACTTTTGATTGTATTTTGTAATTATGTTTTTTTCTTGCAACAAATTTCGATTTTAATCTTAAATCTTTATTTAGGAGCTGTAGAGTTAATTTACAATTTGTCGGTTGATAAATCAATAGAAGAAAAAGTCGTTCGTAAAGGGATTATTAAACTATTATGTCAATTATTAGACAGAACTAGTACCGATTTACTGTTGGTAAGCATCAAGTTATTGATCCAACTATCAGTTTATAAGGAACATATAGATAAAATGGTAAGTTAAATATTGAGAACTTGAAATTTAGTAAACAATGTTTTATCCGAGTTGTTTAAAAATATTTTATTAATTTAGTTTTATTATGTTGTATATTATTTTCAGAAAAAATATTCAATAATTGAAAAATTACCTAAATTGCTTATGATGAAAAACCCTATTTTAGAGAGTTATACAATCAAATGTTTGTATAATTTGTCATTTGACATGACACTTTGTGATAACATTTTAAAAGTGGGTTTATTACCTAAGATAACCGACTTAATAGGTAAGTATTTCTTCAATTAAAAAATAATTATTTTTATTATTAAATATATTAATATTATACTAAAATAATACAGTATTTTAATATTCATAATTCTGTGTTTTGTATACTTTGTTAATAATACATTTGACCAATTTTTAGGTGCGGAAGAAAATAGCGAGTTGGTGTGCAGATTGTGTTATCATTGTAGTATGGATGATCGATCACGAGCTTTATTTTCTCACACAAACTGTTTATCAAAGGTTTATCAATTGTTCAATGTTAGTATATAAATTATATTTTAATTAATTGTTATAATTGTAGATTGCAGATTTGCTATTGGAAGTGAACGACTATAATATTATTGTGTCAGCTCTTTGCATAAATATAACACTAAATGAACGCAACTGTCAACTTTTAATTGCGAATCGTGGACTAAAGCCTTTTGTACAAGCGGCTGTTGATACAAAGGATTTAATGTTCCTCAAAATCCTTCATAATATGTCAAGTCATGAAAGCTTGAAACCTCAGTTTGTTGTAAGTATAACTTTTACAGATGCGAATCATTTATGTCGTCATAGGCTTGTTCGATATAACTGTACATTTAATAACTTAATATTGGTGTATACATTTATAAGTAGTAAATATATGATTTTCTTTTTTTTGTAATTGTAGGAACTCATTGGTCACTTTGCTCATTTAATAACAACAATCAGGGACATACAATGTATCATCGAGTGTGTTGGTATCATTGCTAATGTTAACGTGCCAGAAGTAGATTTTAAAGAACTTTTAGAGTCTCATAATTTAATTTCATGGATGGTACAATATGTGAACAATGGTAGTATGGTTATTAGTTTTTTTTTTTTAATTTTAAGTTAGTTAACCTTAAGTATGTATTGGAACTTCTAGCGTGTATGTCAAACGAAACTGATGCAAGGCTTCTAATAGAAGTTATAAAGCTCTTAGGAACCGTATCGAAGGATGAGAATTGCGGAGAGTTACTTTATGAACACGGAACGATACAACAAGTTGTAAATTTACTAAAAAGTAATAATTTTATTTTTGCCAAATTATTAATTTGATCCTTTATTATTGAGTATAAAGATATTATTTCATTAGACGTATGGGTGGGTTTACACAATTAGTAAGACACAACATTTTTTGTGCTGTTTGTGCACAAACAGCAACACACAATTTTTTTTTTTTCAGGAGTTTCTTCAACGATTTAAGTTAAGGTATCTTAACAACTGTGCAGTTAATTTAGTTAAACTGATTGTGTAAACCACTTTAATCTATTATGTTTTCTCTATTGTTAATTTAAATAACATAATATTAATAACAATTTTATAAAATTTAGCTCGGAAAGGGGATAGTGAACTAGCCATACAAATTATGTATCTTTTATATGAATTAATGTGTCATCCTATTACTGGAGATTATATCATACAAAATACAGGTAATAATTTAAGTTATAAAACAAATATTAAACACGCTCCTCAACAAAAAAAAAAATTAATATATTTTTCAGACTGCCCAATTTACATAATTGATTTAATGCACGACTCCAACGTACGTGTTCGTAAAATGAGTAACTATTGTCTTGATATAATAAAGGTAAACATTCCATGTGTTAATATTTATATTATATTTTTTATTTTAAGAAATTATTTAATAAAATTAAAGGAATTCGATGAGACTTGGACTAAAAAAATAAGAGGAGCAAAATTTTGTTGGTTTAATGCGTATTGGCTCAATATGATGAAGGGGGAATGTGAAATGCCTACATTTAAACCAAAATATGAACCTAACAATGAAATTAATGTTTACGGATTTGCTCACCAATCAGTATTAATGCCCGAAGATGGTAAATGCCAAATAATAAACTTTTTTTTTAAACTATGTAGCTAAATAATAGTTTTATTCATTTTTTTTAAATTAGATTTTTTGTTTGACAAAGATGATAATATTGAAATCATGTCGACTAAAACACAAAGCCGGCCAGAAAGTAGATACTTAGATGATCGGTAAGTCTCATTTGAGTTTACGAGTTGTAATAGAAAATGTAAATAATGAATGTTAAATTATGTTAGATTTGACTATGACTTGGAATCATTCAACGAAGTTCATTTTCCTGTTGACAACTTCGATGAAGACATTGATGATAAAAATCATATGATGCAAAAGTTTTCAAATAATATTTTACATTTTACTGAATAGTCCTTTATATAATATTTTCTTTATAATCTTTACCATATATATTTTTTTTTTAGTTGAAGTTTTTCACGTGTTGCCCAATTATAATTTTTCTGCGAAGAACTAACCAAACAATTTGATTAAATCATCTTTGTTTATACTAAACACTATAGTTTTATTACTTACTTATTTTTCAATTTCTTTTCTTGAGTAATGTTTATAATATCACTTTACCGATGATTTTTTGTTAGTATTAACTTATAGTTACTAAGTCGCAAATGTTTTATTTATATTTGTTTTTGTATAGCTAATGCATTCCAGTAAGTATTATTTATAGAAACACTATTATTATGTTTTACTATCAGCAAGTAGCTGAAAGAAACTAAACTTGTTAAAGAGATGAGTAAGAATGAAATTAAGTTATCTAAGATAGCATTGATTTCTATACAGCTGTACTTCTATTTATGTTTTTGATTAATTTTGAATTTTAAATGATTGTTGTCAACTGATATCAGTCAATTTAGGAATTTTTTAAAAATATTTACCATATAATTATACCTAACATGGAAACTGCTGTATACCAGAAATCTAGTCAAGTTAATTTACATAGTTTTTAATGTTTACATTGTTCTTAACATTTTATTTAACCAACTAAATTAATTAATTAAAATCTAGTCATGTCTAGGTTATCTACTGTAATTTATTTGTGCATTTTTAATTTATATACTATTATACTTGCTTGTAATTTAAAAATATTACCAATACATTAGAAAACTGATGTTTTATTAATTAAGTACAATTAATTGTGTTATTTAAAATAACTAAATAATTTATATCACATTTATAATATTACCAAACTAAACTTAAATAAATAAAATACTACTTGTAACACCAATTGTAAACTGTCTTTGTATTTTGTAAAGAATCTGTACAAACTAAATTTAGAGTACTTTTAGAAATCGAAGTAAGCTTCTTTAGCTGTTCACCAAAGTCAAAAGAAAAAAATGTTTTATTTAAAAAAAAAAAAAACATGTGGACGTGTTCCTTTTTAATAAATCTATTATATTAATTGATAGTAATATTTTATTTGCTATTGAATTTTACTACACACATAACGAGGAAAGTTTTTCTTCTTACATACAATTTTCTATGATACATGTATCATAAACTATAATATTGAGTTATATTTAATAGATTTACATATATTTATATTTACAAATTATTTAAACGATTTGAAAAATCTATTGCACACTCCGCGGATGTATAATATATATTATTAATTATAATATAGATAGATTTCTGCTAATATTGCCTATCAATGTTTTGTATAAAACCATAATAACTATTATTTTTTAAACAATTTGAATGGGGTAAAAATGACATACATTTAAGATAATCGAAAAATGTTGGTTTGTTTTGGTATTGTAAAACTAGTGCTAATGCGTATAAAAGATACGGGGATGTGATTTATTTTTAAGAATTAATTCATATTCATAATGATTTGTTTTCATTCTAGGTTTGTAAAAGAAATGCAACTTTAAAAATGAGTTGCGTAATTACCATTTTGATAAGTTCCTAATAACGATATAATATACAGTGTAAGAGATTTGATGTTTTTTAGGTAACAAAATAATATTATTACTAATTCCTACTGTTATACTGTAGGTACAATACAAAATCTTATGGAGAAACATTTACTAAAATACATGCTTAATTCAAATCGAGATAATTGTAAAAAACAGAGGGGAAAGAAAAATGTTCATATTATATACAATCAACGTAAAGCATTATTTTTATTACTTGGTTCATACGTGGTCACTTGGTGATTGCCTTAGATACAAAAAAAAACAGCATTTAGCATTGTTCTGATGTAAAGTATCAATAGTATGTAACTACATACAAATTAATAAATTATGAATTAGCTATACATGCGATCAATGATATTTTAGGTAGCGTATCCCATTGAAAAGAACTAAACAACTTTGTTTTTATAAAATTATATTGTAAACTCGTTTTAAAAGTCTTTGGAGCTACCTTTTCACTTTTGAGAATTAAATACTGTGAAATGTGAATACTGTAAACTGGCGTGACTTTAATAACAATTTAATGTTATAAGTTATTTGTAATTATTTTAAAATTGATAGAGATAAAATAATGATGAACATTTTAATAAATAATATCGTTAGGCGAATCAAGAAGTTTTTTTTTAGTAGCCTTGATGTATTATATTATATATAATTAATAAACAGTACTCGAGTTGAAAATAAATAAGAATAGGGGGAACGACTACGATTAAAAAAGAGCATACCCTGCATTTTTGTACAAATTTATTTTATAAAAATTAGTAGGGGTACGCTACGATTTCTGAAAAAATATTTAGGGTACTCAGTCGGGGCCCACGCCCCCCTTCCAATTCGAGTACTGTTTATAAATATATTTGCTTTTATCTTACAGATTTTTTTATTGTTATTTCTGTAGCTAATATCTATATTTTTGAAAGTCTATTAATATCGTCCCTATTTTAAATTTGTTCAAAAATATATTAGAATTTATGATATTGAATTGTATTTCTGACCATAGAGTGAAAACTTGGGAGTTTTAAGACATTTTACTCTCATACAAATCACCCCAGTATGTAAGTGTACGGTATATCTTATGTATTCTGGTATTTTTGTGGTTCGTCTAATTTATCTACAAAATAATAGCTGTAACCAATAACCTATTGACTATAAGTATTACTTTTTTAAAATGTTATCTATGTTTTTGTTTTTTGAAATTATACGGCCATTAAGGGCAAATATGAACCTGAGTATTAACATTACAAAACATGTGCATTGTTGGTAATAGATTATTACGAATGAGACGCAGCCGTCGTCTGCGGTATTGGCTGCAGCATCTGATGGTGGTGATGGTGATAAAGATGACTGAGGTGAGTGTTGTTACTGCTACTGTCATTGTTGTTGTTGTTGTAATGATGGGAGTGGTGGTGTTGGAGGTGGTGGTTTTGGTAGTCGGCCGACGACGGGTAACCGGCGACCATGTCGGCGTCCGACGGGTAACCGGGCGTGGTGGCTTCGGTCTTGAGAGAGGTGGCCGACGGGCCCATCTTGCCGGTGGCCGCCAGCGCCGCGCTCTGATAACAGGCCATGGCCGGCTTCACGCCGTGGTGCACTTCGGTCATCTCGTAGTGACGACTGTCTGAACTGCCCACGCTCAGCAAATCACTGCAAAAAAAAAAAAAAAACAAAACCCCACTTGAGTTTAATAAAGCTTTTACACGACTCAGCAAAAAAAAGTATACATATAAATAGATATATCTTTAAAGAACTCACAATATTATACTACAGAAATATAATTATACAATTTTCACCATTTACTCTAAAGTATAGGTACTCAAAACCTACTTATTGTTATCATTAAAAAAAAAATAGGAAAACACCACGTATTTCCTTTAATTAGTTATGCAATTATGTAAAAAAAAAACAAAAATCGTCATAAAAATTGCACTTGTTTTTACGGTTTATGTCCGAGACCATTTTTATAAACATCCATTAAACAAAAAAGTACTATTAAAAACAAATTTTATATTTTTATTTTCATAAACTGTAAAACATAGGCAATAAAAACATTTTAGCTTTGATGCAAAGCAGAGATGCTATTTTTTTTTCAATTGTCGGGGTGATTAAAAAAAACTAGACTTGTGTGAAAAGAGAACTGAGGTTATATTCGTGTACAATACTGTTCATGTACATTACTATATATACCACGAGAGGGTAACAGAAAACTTGGGTATAATGAATTGATTGTTATTTATTGACTTGGATTATTTTCGTTGCACACATGAAAATGGCCTGCGACGATGACAATGACACACGATTATGATACACAGTTTGTAATCAAACAATAATTGTTTTTGTGTTTCGTGCAATTTACTTCGTGACTACCAACAAACGGTATTTTAAACGAGTTAAAAAAATTATGTAAAAACTTCTTGTGTTCGTACAACTAAAATTGTTTTGACTGGTCCAAATTACTTAACGTTATTTTGTACCGTACGCTATATTTGTAGGTATGACATAAAAGGACATAGACAAGCATAATAATATGTTACAGAAATATTAAGGCCTAGATATTTGAATGTGCATTCAAGGTTTATTTTGTCACCAGTCGCGGTTCTAAGCTGGACAACATCTTCCTTAGAGCGATAAGTCGTTATCGAGGAGAGATAAAAGATTCATTCAAGATCAAAGATCAAAGATGTAGAATAAATGTTCGTAATCGTTTGTAAATGAAAAACAGAAAACTAATATGAAGACTATAACAAATATTATTAGTTGTATAGTGTTAGTTTTGTAAACGAAGCGTCTGTGCGAAAAACTTTAACAAAATATTGGTTCTCATTAATTACAACAAATAATGACACGGTCTTTATCTAGTAAAAAAGGTACACTTTTTTTTGTAATAATTATTGTTTCAACCATCGAGAATAACGTTTTAAATTAATTCCCTAATATTAGACATAAATAATGGTTTCATAATAAAAAATAAGATTACTATTACCGCTTAATCTGAACGAGACGGATAATGCAATGTGTCAAGCTATTATCAGTAATTATGCACTGTAGTTTTTTCAGTGTTATCACAAAACGCGTTTTCCTACTATTCCCATAAGGAATATCATTAAAACGCAATTTTTTTTAAACAAATCATTTTTTTGTTGACATTGGCGTATGGTAAAGCGTTGTATACCCGTTATGCGTCCTATCTTATCTCCTCTGATCTCGCTATAGTAATTGCATGTGACGGATAAAAAATAATGTAGACGCAAAAAAAAAGAATTGGCCTCCTAGCAGTTTTGGGTTGTTCTTTCAAAAAAAAAAAATATTTATATGTAGGTATAATACAAGCCAGATGATAAACACGTTGCAAATGGAATTACAAATGTGTGTGTTGGTGTGGTAGGTCATGTGATATACCTGTAAATCAGTTACATTGTTTTTGGTCGGTAGACAACGAGTTTAAACCACAAAAGATTGTTGACCTATAATGGTGTAAAGTAGTAGTACCTAATATAAAGCAGCATCTTAAAAAATATTTGTTTAAGTAAAAAATTGGAACATAACATTCATAACATCGACAATGAGCTGGAAAAAAATAATTTTTGAAATTAATTGACGTATTCAAAATTGCAAGTATTTTAGTGAAAAAAAGTAGCTTTGTAAATACTACGTTAATTATTAATTTCGCTTCAAACTGACCAAATGTAGGTATTACGATTGTACTTATCGTTTTTGATTGGTAACTATTAGCTATTTGTACATAAAGTAATTTCTGCGATCGCAGATCAAACATGTTATTGTTTTTTGTTTTTATTATAAAATACAAAAATATCATGCAACTTATCCATAGGTATAATTGTTATCATTATCAAAAATAACAGGTAGCTGTGGTCACAGTTATGTTCTTATAAAAATAGTATTAATTATGTGTACTTATTGTAAAAAATATACCACTTTTAATTAGGCACTGTACAGTTAATATAAGATTTTCACAATTCATAAACCGAGTCACGTTGACATAAAAAAACAAATTAGTTGAAAAGAACTCGAGCGATGGCCAATGCAAAATAAATCATATCAAACGCTCGGTTTGCAATCAACTGAACTTGCACAATATTCTAGATGTAATCTGCACAGTAGTGGCGACGGTGTGACTGTGTTGCACTTAAAGTAAAATCTTAAAACCGAATAGTTTTTGAGAAAAATTAATACTTTACTGTGTCGGACGTGCCGAGAAAAAACACAGAAGAGGGTCCCCGGACGACCGTAAAACCGAGAGGGAAAATAATTTTTTTTTCAAAATCAAACGGCATCGGTTCATATATTATTATATCTATTTAATACGGTTTTAGGCTGTACATAATATGACATTTATGTGTGCCCGAAAACCGGCCGAATTTTGATTTAACGCTGGGTCCACGTATACGTATATGTGTATTATATCCTTTAAATTACAAACACACTCTGTTATATGGTATTATATATATATATATAAGTCTAAACCTAAACAGACGTCGTTATGTATATTTTATATGTGAGTGTGTGTGTCCCTTAATGCGACACGACGTCCTTCCAAAACCGACTACCGGCTAACAAGGCGAGTGGATGAAGGGGGGGGGGGTTGTTTGCCGTCCACATTCTTAGAGCTGCTCATATGACGGTTTATAATGTATATTATAATATGTAAATGTTTTTTATATATTACTTATAATACAATATTATCACTATTAATACTAACGACGGGGTTGAGAAAATTAAAAAATATATAGAACATTTTATGAAAGAAATGGTTGGTCGCTTATGTTTGAATAACTAACATTTGTACAACCGAACATTATTTTTTTGTTGAAAATATTACATGGTGTGCAAATTATATTTGACGGCTTTTCAATTTGTACGATTATAATTAACTTGACTTATTATTAACTTAAAATACTCACTACGCTTGTACCTTGTACTCAAATTTTTACAGTTGTTTATTGCAATCGATTCAAAGCATTTGTTTATAACAATAATTAAAACTCACCCTTTTGAAAGGGCATATTATGATAAAACACCTAATATAATGTTACTGTTTCATTATCGGTGCTCTATTATGTATACGTTTGCCGACCATGAGACTTATTGACTAAACTGCGACAGACAGACGGTCTCCGTTGGTTTTTTGTTGTTGTTTTGTAAAAAAAAAATATTTAGAAAACAACCGAGTAAAATGAACTGTACACCGCGTGGTCGGCTAATAACTTATGAATAAGTTGCTGTGAATGAAGTAAAAAAAAAAACCGTTTACTTTTTAAAACCAAGGCTATCGAAATATATGTTTTTTTGATCCTCCGCGCGGTTAAAGCATAATCAACAAAGAGTCTTATTTTTTCTATCCCATAAACATTATATCTACTATTTTTTTATTCCTCGGAACAGAAAAATACTATTGTGTATGGTCTATCGGCAATACGCCTGTACCAAGTCAAATATTTCCGATGACTCCATGTAAAGATATAAAATGTTATTGGAATAATACGCTTTTTTCTCATAGCCTAATCGTCGCCACTTGTTGCCGTTGGAAATCAGCTCCGTCTTGCCATGAAAACGACCCACTGACGGAGGCGTTTAATCATTTGAAAATACATGTAAGTATAACCGGGAACACCGCGACGGTCGGCTCTTTTAACCCCAAACACTTTTGTACAGCAACGCGGGTGCGCGCACACGTGTTGCAAGAAAACGCGGTCACGATCAACCTAACCTTAAGGCACGGGACTACTTGGAAACGGGCATTTTGGAAACAGATTTCTGTCGAAAATCCTCTACATGTACGTGTCCTCATTAATATTATCGCAAGTCACCCCAGCGGGATGGAAAAAAATAAAATCAAAAACGTCTGTCGCTGGTGGGATGTGTATGTTAAATAATATAGTACATTATTCATATTATTATTGTGTTTAATTGGTAGCAAATGGCTGCGATGATAAAATATAATACAACCAAACATGCATGGATGTACTAGTTAGATATTTAGAAGAAAAAAAAATGAAAGAATATTGTTCAGAAATTGGAAAACGGCCAAGAAGTGGTAATTAAACCCGATTAGGGTGTGATTGTAATTGCAATTTTTTAAATTCAAAATTCTTTTAATTTTATGAATGCAACACGATGATAAAAAGACAACATTTGTTAATTATTTACAAAAAAAAAACTTTATTTTCGTTAGCTCCATTTGATTTGATTTTTCGAATGTACCTAAGTAAAGTAATAATGTTAGTATAGGCAAGGTATTCTCTTTTCTTTACCTATCCCATACGACCCTGCCTTGACGTATCAGCTATTGGACGTTCAGCGAATTGATGTACTTTTGCTTAACCATCGTGTTCTATAGTGACCTAAAGTAAAGACGGCTATGCCGGGGTATTTGGTTTTAGAGCCTTTATTTAAACGTTGTTTTGTTTGTGAACAATTTCAAAAGTACAGCCGATTTGAGTGGTACGGGAAACGTATAATAATGCATAATATTATACCGTATACCGGGTCACCGTCTTTGACCGGTGGCAGCAACAACACAATCGGTATTGTAAGGAAAATAAAAATAAATAACAACGAGAAAAAGAGAGAATGAGAACGTGTTCGCCATTAAACACTCGCGCATAATAATAATAATAGTAAGATAT